CGGGGGAATGAGGAGAGGGGCCGGCGCCGTGTTTTTTGCCGTCAATCGGACGTGAAAATTTGAATTTGAAAAGTATGCAAAAACAAAGGCCTGCTCAGACCGTGCGGCTGGCCGCGAACAGTTTCCACTTAAGTGGCTCGATTCGTTCGAGAAGCCAGAAAGCCGGATGCAGCTTGCAGAAAGCTGCTTCTCGTAAACCAATTTGGACGCAGAAGTAGTTTACCAGGAAAGTAAAAACTCTTGCCAAAGAGTCAGATCCCGTCACGTGCTGTCTCGCGAGTGATTTCACGCGATATCGTCCCGCGATGAAGCATGCGTCACGTGAAATTGAGGCACGGGCTTGCTATCGGGGGCGTGAGTCACCCTCACGGAGTCTTCGAAGACCGAGAGCAGGATATGCTCCGTGCAAGTCAAGGGGATTTCGTGGATGACAGTGGTGAGGGGAGACAAGGCCATCGGCGACGATGAAGCTGGAAGATTTCCTCGGCGGGGCAACATCTTTCCCCCGGGTAAATTTCGGGAACTAGCGGCTACCCAAGTAGCACGTAGGTGGCGGTCCACTACCTACATCGCTAAAGGGCCAGCACATTACCAGTTAGCTCGTTTATGGTGTACCACCTGCTGGGAAGGGTCCTAACCATATCCTAACCATTGAGTGAATAAATGGAGGGCGCGAGGCACTGCATCCTTCCAGGCGCGGCCGCCATCTTACTAAAGTCTCTCGAGCAAGGAGTTCATAGCAGACACATGGAAAGGGGGAGGGCAAAAGAGGCAACAAAGACCTCCACGCCGGGACTCAACCAATCACGCTATTCATTCCCACGTGCGGAACCGTCCCAAGATGACGGTTCCACACTTGCAGCTCTCGAGGCGTCGAAGGCCTCTCCAGAGACGTCTACCGTATATACACTCTATGGTCCTAACGCCTTCATGCATATCCGATTCACCTATAAATCTTGGCTCTAAAGCCCATTCAAAAGTTTACCAAGATGACTCACTGCTTTCTTCTTGCGCAACCATTACAGGCAGCCGGAAGGGTAAGCAAAAGCCTGCGAGCGTGGAGACGCAGCAAATTCAGGACATAAAATTTGATATCTAATGTTCTATTCTAGCCTCCCCTAGTCCAGTACACTTCTGAATTCCCATACTTAATTACAGCATTTAATAATTCCCCCAGTCTTATATTGCCATCAAAACATCACAACTCTACGCTTTCCTAGTATCTGTTTACAAATTGCATATGAAAAAGAGGAAAAACGATGAAGAAACACTTGCTAAATCAGGAAGGCAGGTACTTCCTTGCAATTGTAGGGTGCAGGGAACGGGGTACCATCTAGTGGGGACTCTTGGTACTGCATCTAGGGGAGTGCCAGCTACATACTCCGCCCTGAGCTGGTGGAGGGCTAGCAACTGCATGTCCCCCTTGCCGCCACGTTCCCGCCCTTGGCAGAAATCCGCCAGTGTAGTGCCTGAGGTCGCTTATGGCCCGCTACTTTTGGCGTGGGGGCGAGATCGACTCTCGTTTCTCGCTTCTCCAGACGATGAGATCCCTCTAAGATCCCTCTAAGATCCTTCTTTCGTCGATTCGATGAAACTCGAAAGCTCTGCCCGTTCCGTGTGCGATGGAATTCCGTCGTTGTTGTCGGGAAAGGACGGACCGGAACGCGTCAAGCCCAGTTGGCCGCGACGTTACGATTTGTCTCGAGGAATGCGATGGAATGAAAAATCTCAGAAATAAATCGTCCCTTAGACCGGGAATATGCTAATTATGCTAAGTGCTAATTATGGACCGGCAATCGAGAAACACTGTTCATTAGTCATTGCGATTCCTTTGCAACTTACCCGTGACCGAATGAAGCGCTGCTATCGGCAACGGCGTAAATCACGCGTCGAAGATTTTTACCCACATTTTGACCGATATGAAGTACTCTTTTGCAGTACTTAAAAGGACCGAAAGTCCCGCCTCAGTCGAGGTTATCGACCCCCTAATTTTTCGGAATCGGCATCTTCGATTTCGCCCACGTGAATTTCAAGTACTTTCCAGTACCACCCCACTCTTCGTAGCGCCGGAAGCCACACTCCGTGCCGTACCTCTCACGGATTCGTCGAAAGTACCTTTCGATACTGGCGTGACCAAGTATGAATGGCGTTCCACACTCGAGACGCGGAAAATGTGCCCCCAGCAGCGAGACGAGCCAGTCGGGATCGGATCGGTCTCTTTCGAGTACCCCGAAGAGCCACTTCTACGTACCTAGACTAGTACTATATCGTTGCGAACGAAGCTGCAACGCAGAGGACGAGAGGACCATCGACTTCGGAGTTAATTTATATTTAAAATCATTTATCATTTATATTTTTATGAGTACTGGAATCGGAAAAGGTCATTCTACGATTCGATCCCCGCTCAAGCGAATCGTAATTAAAACTTCATTTTCTCGATTAATCTTGGAAGCGCAAAAATCTTCTGCAATGAAGTTGGCTGAGTTTTGGCACGAAATTTTTTTTTTCCCCAGCCCTTGACAGAGGACATCCGGTGGTACTACCTGATCGAGCTCGGCCTGTACTTCTCGCTGATGGCGTCTCAGTTCTCCGACGTTCGTCGGAAGGATTTCGCCGTGAACCTGATCCACCACCTGGCGACGATCGTCCTCGTCACGTTCTCGTGGATCATCGGGGGGATCCGGATCGGGGCGATCACGCTTCTGCTTCACGATGCCTCCGATGGCATCCTCGAGGTGAGATCATCTTATAATCTTGGCTGCATCGCGAGACGGTGTTAAGGGCTCTCGCTTGTTTTTTCTTCGAGCGTGAATAGGAGCGCTATTTGGAGGGCTGATTAGCGCTCCTATTTTCGCGAGGGCAGACAGCCGTCTGCCATGCCGAGGTTGACAATGTGGAAATCGGTCTGGATTCCACTTCCCGGTCGTTCTTCTTCCGATCAGCTTTTTTCGATACTTGCTAGCTGGCGAAACTGTGCCACTACTTGAAACTGAAGTGGCTGACCTCGCGGCTCTTCATCGTCTTCACGAGCGTTTGGATGGTGACCCGCGTTTACATCTACCCGATGCACATCGTCCTGCCGTGAGTCGAGGCTCTCGTCCTCCTTCCGTGCGGGTGCGCGGCGGGGCCCCGACTGCGTCTCGTTTCGTGCCGGCAGGATGCAGATGGCGCTGGTGGACGAGTGGGAGGAGAGGTGGCGGGGGAACCTCTCGTGTCCGTTCATGATGCTCCTGCTGTGGAGTCTCTTCTTTCTGCACGTTTACTGGACCTATTGCATCTTCAAGGTCATCATCAGGCGACTCGGGGGGAAGGTGAGTGCTATCGTCTGAGCACGAACACGGCAGCGGAAGTCGTCGTTTCTTCATGTCTCTTATCGAACGGGAGACTATCTTTCCCTCTCTGCGAGTGGCTTATATAATGCAGTGGCGCGCATGCCCTGATGGCATCAGATTAACGCCGTCCCGGCGCTGCTGCGATTTTGGACTGGTGATATTCATTTAGAAGGGAAATAGGATACGGTTTGCGGCTGGGGAGAATGGACCACTCATTGGGAACCCTAATGAATTCTTTTTAATCTGTCTAAACGGAGAACTACGAGAAAACATGAAGGACGTGGATAGGTTATTTTTTCCTCATGAAAAACTAGACAGTAGATATGGAATTACCTTGCAATAAATCACCATAAACGCTTTTAAGGAAATCATAAAGCACTTCCTCTGATTTGAACAACACCTGACACGTGCGTTAACCTGATACCATCAGGTAAACGCACGGTAGAAATTCAGAAAGGTAGCTTCGCTTGCGCGACCGAAAATGGTGAGATGGCGATCGACGCTGGAAGGCTACGAGCAGTGGCGGCTCGTGATATTTAGCGCTAGTGGTTCGTCTATGGAGAGGGGGTAGGCAGCGCCCACCCCTGCCTACCCCCTCTCCATAGACGAACCACTAGCGCTAAATATTACGAGCCGCCACTGGCTACGAGGAGTTGGAATTGAGGATTAGACTTTTGTCAGTGCCCTTGGCTGGGCCATACGAAGCCCTCTTACACAATTTCCACCAAAGTATGCGAATGGTTGAATGGCAACCATCTCATATTTCGATTAAATTAAATGAATTAAATTTGGCATGCAGAGGGATCATGATGAGGATAGCTCATACCCAAAAATCGTAGGTCGCTGCGACAAAAGAAGGGTGAGGTACAGCCCAGTTTAAAATCCCAACTGGAATCTTCCAGCTGGGCCAAATCTGTAAATTCGGACCATTTCCAGCTGGCAAAGAGCAAAATAGTAGGTACCAATTGTTTCTTAGCTGGAATTTTTCAACTGGACTGCAGCTGGTTTTAATAGCTGTTTCCAACTGGAAAATTTCCAGTTGGAATTTTATAAAGAGGACCCTACAACTGGAATGTAGCAAAATATACAGTTGAAAATCAGCTGTTCCTGTAGACAGACCTCTGCCAAAAATATTCAACAAAAATATTCTCATTCAGTTAGTGATAAAGCAATTAGGAACAAATCTGGAGATGACTATTGTTACCCAGTTGGAATGGGTCCGAATTTCCAGCTGGAGTCCAGCTGGAAATTATAGCTGTTTCCAGCCGGGATTTTCAACTGGGAGGATTCAAAATATCACTGAGTCAAAAGCTTCCATCGTTTCGACTTGCCCATGTTATTATTGACTCGATCGGGAAACCTTTGATTTGCAAGAAACGACCAACTCATCCAATTTCAAACTGGAAAAATTATGCTAGAAATCGGAGCGCCTCAAACTCGCTTGGTTTATTGGCCCACGAATGAATGGACTCGCTCCTTCCGAATTTGACGCAGGTGTCATAATGCTAACACAGATGATTGTGGGAGATTTTCTAAATATCAGCAGCTTCCGAGTAAAAATTTTGGCTTGGAAATTAAGACGCTAATTATCTTAGCATACCTTTATTTTATTTTGTTATTGTTTTAATTTCTCTTTTAGGTGAGGAGCAAGAAAAATAGCATCCGAGGATTAGCGGTCATTTTATGCCTATTTGATTAATTTGAAGCCCCATTATCTTGACCCCCGTTTGCTCTGGACTACTTTCGGCTGCACACTTTTCTCTGAATCCATAATTTCACAAGTTCAATCGAAATTTGAAGCGATCGAGCACCGACCATTGACACACTGATGGAGGAATGATCCGCCTGTAAATAGCGTAAGATGGCTTAGTATGGCTTAGCATGGCTTAGTATGGCTTCGTATGGCTTAGCCGAGGCTACTGACAAAAGCCTAACCCTCACTCCAGCACCTCGTAGCCTTCCAATGCCGATCGCTTATCAAACTTACCATTTTTGGTTGCACATTTGAAGCTACCTTTCTTCGACTATTAAATTTTCTCCATGAGACATGACGGAAACGTACGCGTTTAGAGCCAGCTGAGGTCCCGGAATAGCTTCGGATAAGATATCATGTGGCCCTGAATGTCTGTTTGAAGTTTGTCGATAAACGTGACCCGACGTTTGATTTCACTGGACTCCAGCGACCAATACCGGAGCATAATCTGTACAAATGTACCACCTTCCGAATATCGGGAATGGTTTTCGTCTTGCAAGGACTTTCATTTTGTGCCCTGGAGCCTCGGGAGATCTTACTGGCTGCGGCAATGCCATAGTTACAATAGGGAATTGGTTTTAAATTAAACTTCTGCCAGTAGGTGATGCCAAGTGAGCAATGACGTCGAGTAGAAGCACGCGAAGATGTCCCTGTTCGATCTCGTGCAGCATTCAATCGCCTGACAATACACGAGACAATCGTATCCTTAAGGAAGTCATGCGACGACCCCGATTACCAAATGATCCTCGTAAAACTCGCCTCGATCACCGACTCTTTCGGGTCGGGTCGCCTTGCGTGTGGAGGAAACTGCCAAACCGAGTCTCTCCTCTTTCATGCGTCGTCGAGAAGCCGTTCTTCCTTTTAATGGCATTATAAAGTGATGATCGGTCCTTGTCGATCGATCGATCGATCCGAGTAGGACCGATCTAAGTTCTTCAGTCTCGGAAAATCCAGCGATTCAAAATGAGCCGATCGGATAATCGAATTGCCCGAATGGCCGCTTCACCTGCTTGCCGACTGGTGAAAGAAACTGCGGAGAAAAATCTCTTCGAGCGGGGAACTGGGAACTTTTGGGTTCGATTCTTCGGGAAAAGTCGGACAATTCGGCGCCCAAGAATTTGAGGGTTGGTAAATCCTGGCGAATCAGGACAAATATTTCGTCATTCGGCTGCTGAGTCTTGGGAATTATCACGCCAATATCGTGGTTGAATTGCGGCAAACATTATGCAGGGCTGGGTTTTGCAATTGCTTCAGGAGTTGGCGAAAAACATCTTATGAAATGAGCCATCAAATGTAAGAGGCAGGCGCTCAAGCTCACTTTCACATTTTTTTAGTTTCAACACGTCATCCATGTTGACATAATACAAAAAGTGCTTTCTTTGTCATGTGTTGGTAAAATGATCACAAATTCGTGATTGAGAATTGTAAAGATGTGAAAAGATTGCGAATAAATCTGAGGCACCGTTTAAGTTGACAGGGAAGTTGTCGCCTTAAGTATAGGGAATCTTACAGCAATGCAGCCTCAAAGCCTGAAGAACGGGACATTCAAAGCGCCTCTCACTTTTATCTCGAAAAAAAAATCCCCCTTTTTTCCTTCAATCGAAAAACATCGAAGCCAACCCCTGACCCCCTTTGACCTTTCCAGAGTCTGAAGGACGTGCGGAGCGACACCGAAGAGTCCGAGGACGAAGCCAAGAAGCACGGTTGAAAGCGCCCCAGTCTGTGTTCCGTCATTGAATCTCCCACTCGTAGGATTCGGAATTACAGCCCTCAAGTCTTTAATCCCCCCGTCCCTCACATGAAGTCGTTCATCCGATGGTATATTTCCTTGCAATGCCGAATTGAAGGCAGATTTCCCTCTCGTAACCACCTTCATGATACATGGTAAGCAGACACGAGGATGCAACTTAAACTTATTACTCTTTATTTCTTATGCTGAGGAACGTGGGTGTGGGAATATATCATTTTTGACCTGAAATCAAACTCCATGCGTTTTCTTGTGATCGCTCCGCAGTTCTCCAATGAACGTGTGTAGAGAGCTTTAAACTTTCTAATGTATGAATCTCCTTCCGGACAGTTCATCGCAGTTCGTTCGCAATGTCTCGGTGGTGAGAGGCGCGAAAATGAGTCGAAGTAGAGACTCGTTGTCGAACATTGAGGAACAACGATTTGAATCCATTTTTTAACCTCTCAGTTTCACCTCAGTCCCGTCATCGTCTCGGTCGACTACGACTACAACGCGACTGGGGCGATGGAGCGACTGCAGTTGAACCTCAACTGAACGCTGAAGTTGAAATCATCAAAGCCGGTGCAACCAATCGGCCTCGATAAAAATGAATGACTTTCAAGCGTTTTGGGCAGATAAAAAAATTCGTTTAATTTAATTTAAAATATTGGCACCATGATGGGAGTATACCCCTTGGGGATCGCTTTGTAAGTCGTTTCATCTCGCAAGTCCGGTAGGACGGATTCTCGTGGCTGCCAGGATCCGATCCAAAATAAATTGTAGCCTTTTTCTGCTGAGGACAAGGAGGAAGAAGTTATGTCATGGAAGAGCCGGCTTAAAGTTCGAATAAAAAAAATCTCACAAATTCTCTCGACAACTTCATGGTTTGTCTTCGCAAAATCGTGCGTAATTTCTGTAATTCCCATGCCGGCAAGTTCCAGAGAGCCGCATCCTCGAAAGATGCTGTGAAGCGGAGGAAGTTCAGGGCGTTCCAAAGATCATCACTGGAAATTCTGCAATGTGACCATCGAAAATCGTGAACAACGGACGCAACAGCACATGCTCCGAACTCCAGCCTGCCAGTCCATTAGATACCACTAGAGAGGCGAAGAACCATTCTGACAGCATGAAAACTTCAAATTAAAGCCAAAGGAAAATGACGATTACTTTGAATAGCTAGAGTTTGGTACTTTTTGTTTTGATGCCGTTAAGCGCCAGCTAACATGCCAACCGTGACAATTCGCGACCGCATTCCCATCAGTCATAATGATTTCAGGCTGGGCATAAACAATAGTGGTTCGAGAATCTGTTAAAATTCCAATGAAGTGCGACTTTATTCATAGGAGATAACCTCTCGCCGTCATGTTTGCACCATAGGTATGACACGTCCAATTTTGAGGCCTGGAGCTATCATATGTGGTATGTCCATAGCACTTTCAAAATCTGCAGACTGAAAGTGTAAATGGTAATACGAAATCATTTGCAAATCAATATGCTCGCGGCAGGCATTCCAGGGGGAGAGGGGGAGGGGGTGGAGGCACTATTACATGTATCGGGAAAAGGCCCACTTTCGGGGAGCACTTGACAACAAGGGAAGACTAACCCTCTTATTATCCTCATTCAGCAACTAGGTCAAGGGAAAGATCTGAGGGAACTGCCAGATTAAACGTTTTTGGTACACATGGAACATTTTCAAGGGATGTTGGATTGCCCTTTCACCTCTCGCGTACCTCTAGCCGAGAATTCAAGTCGTCACTGGCATCGGGATAATCAAGTGCACTCGCAATTCGCGATGCATCTGCTCCTTCTCGAGATCTCCAGGACGACATGATGCTAATATCCAGGGGAGCAGCTGCTGTTATGATAGCTGAGCAACTTAAACGGACGTCCAAAAGGGGTAGAAAGCAGCCACTGAGCTGTTGGTATTTCATCTTCACATCTTTGACATCTCTTTTCTTCCAAGAAGGAGAATCCACAAATTGCCCTTCAGCCTGCCTAGGTCAAATAACTCTTCCCCTGTCGCCCTTCTTCGAGCGTGAATAGGAGCGCTATTTGGAGGGCTGATTAGCGCTCCTATTTTCGCGAGGGCAGACAGCCGTCTGCCATGCCGAGGTTGACAATGTGGAAATCGGTCTGGATTCCACTTCCCGGTTGGGGGGGGGGAAGGGGGGAGGGGAAGCCTGGTCAAAATGCATCCGCCTCTTCCCTCCCTTCCTCCCCTCTGCCCGAGAAGTTACTTGCCCCCCACTGTTCTTCTTAGCCCCCCCTTTGGCGAAACCCTGGCTACACTACTATTGCCTCCACTATCCATCTTCTTGTTCAGAGAAACAGGTTTTTTTTTTTCCTGGTGCATACAGACATACACACATCCTCAGGCAACAAACTGCCACCCCTGGTCATCGACCATTTCACATAGTTTGAGATCCATAGACGTCTGTACTACTGTAGCTTCTTCCCACTGCAACCCCCCTCACCGCTGAATCCTCCGCTAAACCCAATTTACACGATGTCTCGCCCTTAATTGCAACTGCAGATTTAGAATGTTTTAAGTTTTCAGGGTTAAAAAAAATCGCGAGTAAAAAAAAAATTTAACCGGATTCCCCAAATTCAAAACTGAAAACAACAGTTCAGTTGAATGGTTTCTCTGGCACCGGATTGGTTTGGCCATTGGGTGAACAGATGCAACTTGGCATAACTGGTTATAACCTGAAGAGCAAGAGGCAGTCCCCAGAAAGAGCACCCTGACAGCAGGAAACAGAAGTGTGTAGTTTTTCATAATACGCTAGATGTCAGGACAATTAACTCTCTCACAGTAGAGCACGCGGACCCCTTCTTTCCCTATGAGGCTCCCGTGTGTGCATTGCGCCCTGTTGAGTGGAGGGAGCCGGGGTTTCTGTTGCAGCTTCTCTTTTCAGTTTCTCCCCTCCAGCCCCTTTGTTATTCCTCGCTCTCCCGCTCCTACCCGCTTCCCCTTCCTCCCATCTTCGTTACTGATTCGTCGTGAATCTGTCGCACGAGTCATAACAAGTTCGCTTCTTTTGTGACCATGGGCGACAAGCATAAGCCTATCTGTGATGGACCAGTGCCTACCAACGTGGTCGGCGAAGAGGACAATTCATTGGAGCTGAGTCTTCGTCTCGGCTTGGAGAGAACCAGCGAGGATGAGTGTTATTACATGGATCTGGATCGTGCAATCGACTCAGACGTCGAGGAGATGTCCAAGAAACACATTCACACCTCGTCGAAAGAATGCATCTGTGTCCACCCACCGCCTCGCCGACTCAACACGGATGACTTCGGCGATGACAATGCCAGTGATTACGACTCGGGCGAAGGCCTCAGCAGTGCCAGCGCACCGTCTGGGTCGTGCCAAAGCACCCAAAATCGATTCAAAAATCGAGATCCCAAAGCCCGCATCTGCGCCTCGGTTTCTTCACCCTGGTCAGTGTTGTAGGCCTAACGTTAGGCTAGGTTTACGTAAAACTATGAAAACGATCTCATACGAATAATTTCTATGCGTGTAAGACCTGTAACCCGATGGGATCTGGGAGTTACTGCAGGCCGCACCGTAACAGTCGCATAATAGGTAAGAATATGTTGGACGAGAAGCAGCTAATTAAAGAAATAACTTTCTCTGCCATAATCAGTGGTAGGAGACTCAAAACTGCTAGGAAGAATTCGTGGCAGGGATAGGAACTCATATCATCCCCGTGTCAGATTTGAGGCGTCTACATCTGCAGTGGTGCAGAAAACCGAAGCGAGAGGAGAAGCAGATGCGGAGAACTCACTTCAAGTCTCGGATATTTACGTCCCTAAAATGCGAAAGATGAGTAATGCCCGGCATTCATTGATGCTTTTCCCCGCGAGTTTCCACCTCTGACGTCTCGTCAGCTTACAGTAGAGTGATATATAACCGGAGAAGGAAGCGTGGAATAGGAAGAATGCGTGGATCGTGCAATGTATCTTCCATGCTATGACTCCCGTCTCGAGCCAACCCTGAATTCCACGCCTGCTAATAACAACACGGCAAATTGCAAAGGAAAGGAAACGGATGCCGAGGTTTCCCCCTAGGGGTATCTCCAGTCTTCATCTCTCCCTTCGTCCATGAAGGCTCCGGATGAGGAAAGTCGTTCGGGAGGGGAATCCCTCCTCCCCTTTTTGTGGTTTATTTTTTTTTTTTTTTTTCCCCCTCCGTCTTCTTTTTCTCAGAGAAGACTCAGAGATAGGAGCTATCCAGCCAGAGTAAATGGAGCCTCGTAGCCATAAGTCATGGTGGAATGGGCCGGCGCTTTTGTGAAATTTCTTCTCCTTCACACATCGTCACATTGAAGATAGGTCACCGAATCGGGTTCTTTTCCTGCAGAAGGGTCAGATCGGAATGTAACACATAAACACGTGAGGTGAGACGCTAGGAAAAAGGAATTCGGTCCTCAAGAGGAATGCAATCTCTTAATCCCTTGGCTAATTGGACTTATAGAATGTATAGGATAGAGGATGTAGGATATTTGACAGTTTATAGGATGTACCCATCCCATTTGACGTTCAAGGCAACATGATTTCATTATGTTGAAAGCAAAAAAGCAAAGATTAATTATAGGGCTGAAAGGAAAAGTGATCTACATGCAAAAAAAGCTCGAGAAAATTCATAGTTGGTTTAACACTTGAGGAAACTTCATTCTCTCATTGAAAATGTAGTTTTCAATGATGATGTAAAAGAGATTCTGGTCCATCTATTCATACCACTTTTCCTCACTTTTAAGAAGACGGTCACTCTTTCCCTGTTGAGCTCGAGGACAGAATTTTTTTGCAGATGATTTTCAGACTAATTTTCCTTTCAGCCCTTTAATTTTGCTTGCAAGATCTTGCCTTCGAGAATCGCTTTCAATATATTTAACCTAGTGTTCATAGCTCAAGGTTCGGATTGAAATAATACATATTATTGCCCATTATGACGTCCTGTATCAAGGTCGAGCGTTTTTATTTAAACTGAATAATGATATAGTTTTGTGGGAGCGTATTCACCTACTGCCTAGTTGTTACGTTTAGCCTCCGTCGCTTGTGCATGCGAGGACTTGGCCTTCGCCCTACCCTCACCCTTGATGGTGGAACGTATTTTGGTGTTGGTAAATTTTCTTATTTACTTGCAAGACCTTGATCTAAATCGTTGACGTAAACCACAGATGGACGTAATCGCGAGATCTCTTCCTGGGGGGGGGGGACACCGCTCGCTTCCCCGACTTCGGCCGACACTTCATTTACAATTACTCTCTGCTCTCTTCCCCCCCAACAATTTACCCAATTACCAGTTACCCACGCCGCATTGAATCCCTTGCGTCTCCGATTTAGCCTACAATCTCTCGTGAGGAACAGTATCGAAAGCCTTTTCGAAATCTAATTAGACGACGTCGACTTCATTCTTTCTGTCACCCGATCGTAAAATTGGGTAAGCCGGTAAGACGATTTTGTCGTCTCCTCATGTCCGTGCCGAGATTCCGAGTTTCCCACCCGGAATAGTAAGATGTGATCCCGTGACATGCTCTTCATGGTCTTCCTCG